GAAGTTTTTTCTTTTATGAGACTTTCTGAGTTCCACTCTATGAGGTATTCTTTTATAGGTTTTTTTTTTTTTTTTGCGGTATATCCTATTTTCCCCCACTTTTCCCAACACTGAGAAAGGTAGTGGTGGTTTACGGCATTTTAACTGTCTCTTATACACATCTAGATGTGTATAAGAGACAGCCTCTTCCCTGTGTGTCGAGCCTGAGCGCGAGCTGCATCATCACAATGGCGACTCCTTTGTACCGACCTGAGATCTGCATCATACATCAGTCACAAGGAAATGAACCACCTTCATGGAGAAAAATATGGATGTCTTCTGACGGTGGTCATACAAGTAACCGGCATTTGCGTTTGTGAATACCTGACTAGCACTGGGCCAGCAGTTAAAATATAACCGACATTGGCGTTTGTGAGGAATATATACTCCCCCTCCGTGTATCGCCAAGCAAACTGTCTCCTGTCAAATGGAACACATGGGCATTCGTAAGGAACGGACCTATACCTGACTAGCAAAATGTGATCGAACTTTAAACTTTAAAGTTCAAAAACTACCCAGCACTGGGCCAGCAGTTAAAAAAAAATCATGCGCATGGTGTGTCGAGTGTTCTACGTAGGTGAGAGAGAGCTGTTGCTTCCCCTCCGTCTATGCACGGAAGTTAAAAATAAATAAAACACACATGCAGCCTGATGATGCAGGTAAATCTCGTGCACGGTTTGGTGTCTAAGTGCCTTAAGTTTGCTGTGCTCTACGCAGGTGAGACTCCGTGAGAGATATGTGTTCTATTATCTATTCGGCAAAACATGGTAGGTAGAGATACCACGAACACACAATGCACCCAATCACTCCTCCTCCTCCTCCTCCCCCTCTTCCTCCTCCTCCTCCTCCTCCTCCTCCTCCCCCTCTTTCTCCTCCCCCTCCTCCCCATCCTCCTCCACCTCTTCCTTCTCCTGCTCCTCCGCCTGTCTCTTATACACATCTAGATGTGTATAAGAGACAGGGGTTATTGGTTGGGGGGTTGGGGAGCTCTGTAGCAGGACCCCCTTGCTTAAGCGGCTCGTGTGACAAGGGTAAGGCTGTCTCTCTCTCCTACTGTCTCTTATACACATCTAGATGTGTATAAGAGACAGCTTATCAAGTCCCCCCTTGCAGGTGACTAGGACCGCAAGGGTTAGGCTGACCTCTTTGCTAACTCTTTGTCTCTTTGTCCACACATGCTTGCCGGTGATAAGCAACCGGACTGATGCCCCCCAGAACAGAAGGGGCTGTGTGTTTTCTTGGGGGGGGGGGGAAAGTACATGGGTGTCGTTCGAATGCCTTTCG